AAAAAAAAAAAAAAAAAGAGAAGGGCTGGCAGAACAAAACAAAACCAAACAACAAAAAAAAAAAAAAAAAAAAAAAAAGAGGGGATGTTAAGCGCGGCCACGTCCCTCGCTGTAAAAAAAAAAAGCTGTGAAATTTTAAAAGCGCGGCCGGTGACAAATATTAACTTTGATCATGAACTTAGGCGGGCGTTTTAAAGGATCGGGGTTGCCGAGGGTGAGAGGCAATTGGGCAGAACGCGCGGGCTTCCCCCGCCGCTCCCCGCGCTTTGGGGATGCTTTTTAAATTAATTTCTAATTAAAACGCGCTGCCGAGCCCTCTGCGGCCGGGCAGGCGCGGGCTGAGGGAGGAACCGCCGCAATTGGGGCCAAAAAGGAGAATTTCCCCCCATTTTTCCAGGCGCATCCTCCCCTCCCGAGCCGCGCTTTGTCAGGAGAGGATTTCCCTTTGGATCGCCTCGAAACCGGATTTTAAATTTCATGTTAAATTTCATTTTAGGAATTTTATTTGATCTTATTTTATTTATTTAGCCTCGGTGCCGCTCCGGGAATCCGGGACTGTTTTGGAGATTTATTTGGGGGCTATTTTGCCTTTTGGGATGGGGTTTTGAGGCTGTTTTACCTTTTGGGATTTTTTTTTTTTTTTTTTTTTTTTTTTTTTTTTTTTTTTTTTTTTTTTTTTTTTTTTTTTTTTTTTTTGAACATTTGCACTTTTGGGATGTTAGTTCGAGCTCATTTACGTTATGGGATTTTTTGGGGGGAATGTTCTGCCTTTTGGGATCCTTTTCGGGCTGCCCTACCTTTTGGGATGGCTTTTTTTGGCTGTTCGGCCTTTTGGGATGTTTTGGAGGGATTTCTTTTTGGGGGTTGCTTTGCCTTTTGGGATTTATTTTGGAGGGAATGTTCTGCCTTTTGGGATTTTGGGGGAGTATTTTATTTTTGGGTTGCTTTGCCTTTTGGGATTTTGGGGGAGTATTTTATTTTTGGGTTGCTTTGCCTTTTGGGATTTTTTTTTGGAGGGAATGTTCTGCCTTTTGGG